AGGACAGGCGAGCGGTGCTCCACGGCTTCCACTCGGTAGCATAGGAAGGCGGTGTTCCGGCCAGAGGCATAGCGAAGGTTTCGGAAGTGGAAATAGAATGTTCCTTGATATATCCGCTCCATCGGGTTCCTGGGGCACCAGAGAGAAAAGAGAAAATGCAGACAGCACCCCGGGTCCCTCCAGGCCACTGTCCTCTGAGCCCAGCTCCCTGCACCCCGCTGGGCGCTGCACCTCCCCCAACCCTCCACAGCCCTGACAATGTCCGCTGCCTTTCCAGGCAGGGACATGGGGGACAGGGAAGAGGAGGGGACGAGCCCTGGGCAGCAGGGAGGGGCCTCCTCTCCCACCTCGGGCCCCAGCTCTGGTCCTTTCAGTGGGACACCCCCACCCTCCAGTATGCCTGCACACACTTTAGAAAAACGGGAAAGAGGAAAACAACCCTCCGCCCCCCAAAATAGCTCTTAACCTTGTGGTTCAATTCATTCCTGACTTTCCACCTGTGCATGATTTTGTTTTTGTTTTTGTTTTAATCAGAGCAACAGCTGAATTCACGGGCGGGCACAGGCTACTGTTCTGAGTGCGCATGTGTCTGAGCTCAGCTGATCCTGCCCCAATCCTGCAGGAGGCAACCCCCAGAGGTGGGGTCACCTGCCAGACCACAGAGCTGCTGAGTGATGGAGCTGGTCCCCTGTGCTGGCCAGGCCGTGTCCAGCCGGCACCTCATGTCACCTGCAGGAGTGTGTGTGCACTTATGGATGCACGTACTTCATCCTAATCTACTTAATCTTAAGGTATGAGCTTTTCTCCAATTCCGTGTTAGTGGTATATTTCCACAGGGGACGTGTGGACACTGAGGTTGTGGCTATGTTGGGGACATTCTGCATTGACTCTTCTGCTCACAGTGGAGCCATCTGTGGAGAAATGCTTCATCTTCTTGCCTCTGATAGCTAGTCCCTCCTCCCCCACCCCCTCCTAAGACTTTGTGTGTGAAGCAGTGTAAATATTCCAGAAAATCCATGGAAGTGCTTTGGACAAAATTTCCGGCGGCTTCAGTCATCCATTCAATTCTAACTGTCAACAGAGTACAGGAATGTCCTGATGACACACAAAGCCAGGAGCCCCGCACAGGGAAGGCAGCGGACAGCCAGGCCGATGACTTTCAGTGTGAGGGGCTCGGCAAGGGAGGGACATCAGGGTGGGGGCAGGTGGGCGCAGTGGCCAATTGAGAAGCAGCAGGGGCCACCCCCAGAACAGGGCAAAGACCTGCGATGGGCGTGGGTGCTGCAGAGGTGCCCAGAAAGGGACAGAAGTATGGCTGGGCCTGGTGAAGCAGAGACCCCGAGCAGAGGCACATCAGGGGCCACCAAGAAAGGAGGGGCAGCCGAGAGGGGCCCAGCAAGGCCAGCGAGCAGCGGTACCTGATCCGCGGACACCAGCTGCAGCCTCCTCGGTAGGCCTGTCTCGACCAGGCTCCTGGGAATCTTTGTCTTTGGCGCCAGGGTTCCATTTCCTGCTCATAGGGCCCTTGCTTCAGGAAAGCCCCTTATTGGTGAGTGACGTCCTAGGGCCACTGTTGCACACACAAACACATACGCATACACACACAAACACATACGCATACACACACAAACACATACGCATACACACACATGCATACACACAAACACATACGCATACACACACACAAACACATATGCATACACACACATGCATACATACACACAAACACATACGCATACACACACAAACACATACGCATACACACACAAACACATACGCATACACACACAAACACATACGCATACACGCATACACACACATGCATACACACACAAACACATACGCATACACACACAAACACATATGCATACACACACAAACACATACGCATACACACACACATGCATACACACACAAACACATACGCACCCACACAAACACGCACACACACAAACACATACGCATACACACACACATGCATACACACACAAACACATACGCACCCACACAAACACGCACACACACAAACACATACGCATACACACACAAACACATACGCATATACACACAAACACATACGCATACACACACACAAACACATACGCACACACACAAACACATACGCATACACACACATGCATACACACACAAACACATACGCATACACACACGCATACACACACGCATACACATATGCATACACGCGCATACACACACGCATACACATACGCATACACACACATACGCATACACACACACATACGCACACACACACATACGCACACACACACATACACATACACACACACACATACACATACACACACATACGCATACACACACACACATACACATACACACATACACATACACACACATACGCATACACACACATACGCATNGAAAGAGAAAGTAATTGCCACTGGGGAGCGGAAGAGAGTCCAGGCTTGGGCTGAGAGAGCGTGGCTGACGCCCCCTCTACTGGTGACAGGGCAGGCTGGAGCCCTGTCCCTGCCACCCCTACCCAGCCCAGGTCTGTGTCCAGAGTGACGTGCAGCTGCTGCCCTTTGGATGAATGGAGGTTGGAGACTCGGGGGTCATGGGAAGCGTGGATCTGGGTCAGGCGCTTGTATTTACTCTGGCACAGAAATGAAGGAATGGATGTGCTTAAGTTCCTTATTCTGTGCCCAGTCCTTGACCTGTGTCCTCTCATCTACCCTCCTGGCTGCCCGGGGGGACTCACGTGTACCCAAGCTCGGAGGTGGTGAGGTGGCTGCTCAGGACAGACAGCTTGAGATGGTGGAGCTGGCGTCAGAGCCTAAGTCGGCTGCTCTGCGGTGCCAGTGGCGTCTGCCATTTCTCACTGCAAGTCAGAGGAGGGCGGCCGACGGCTGGAGACAAACAGACTTGCTGCCCGCACAGACGCTGGAGGGCTGTGGGGTGGACCGAGGGATCACGGAGGACACGCACTGGCACGCAGACACCTGCGCACATGGATACACGCACACGTAGACACACACAGACACACAGACGCACACTCACAGACATATGCATACACTTGCACAGACACACATAGTCATATGCACAGACTCGCGCACACACATGCACACACACAAACATATGTATACACATGCACAGACACAGACACGTATGCATACACGTGCACACACAGACACATGCACAGATACACATGCACACGTGCAGACATATGCATACGCATAGACAGACACACACAGATGCATACACTTGCACAGACACACAGACACATGCACAGACGTGCACGCGCAGACACATACACACACACAGCACACATCTCCACACACAAACACATACACATACACACACACATACGCATACACACACAAACACATACGCATACACACACATGCATACACACACAAACACATACG